ACATTTTCAACCCACCATGGAAGTAAATGCCTGATCTCCATCATGTCACTACATGGCAGATCAAAGCCCTCAGGATCAAAGAGATTAAAGTAGCACAGGCTCTCAAAATATTATTTTCTGATTGAAAAACACTAATTAAAATTTCTGTAGAAGCTCATGTAATGAGTTACTATTAAAATTTTTTACAGGAAAAGTCAGTCCCAATGTAAATAAAAAATCCCTTTTCTATATGTTCCTTTAAAAGTGTTTCATCCCTGATTTTATCTGTAGCACATTTCTTCACGTTACCTGTTTCAAAAGCCTCAGCTCAAAGTAGTTTGAAAGCAAACTATTTGTGACATGGCTCTTATTTCAGTCCCGAGAGTGTCTCGCCCTTTAAGGAAGGATATTTCACATCTCACAACTGAAACAAAATGAGCTGATTTGCACACTGCTTTTCTTTTCTACAGAGGACAGGCTGTCGTGACAAGAGATGGGGGTGAGACTTTGGAGGTAGCTGAGCTGCCTCTATGCAGAGGAGGAGGATAGCTGCACACGTTGGGCCTGATCAAACCTACTGGGATTGTTCCAACTCTTGCATTATTCCAGCTCCAGGCAGTAACTGGAAAGTTTCTAGGAGGTTAAAACAATACTGTAAGTTGCATCAGCTCTTAATTTGGCATCATACTGCTTCACCTGTGAGGCAGGTGACCCAAAGGTTACATCGCTGATATAGATTATGGATGGCTGGATCTGGAGTCCCAATTTTCATAGTATCATGAATTTGCTACCACTGACTTTTGTCTCTAACTTCACTGTTTCTTGATATGGAAAAGCCCTTGTCATGTTTCACTATTCATCACGTTTAAGTAATTTCACCATCATGGAACATCAGAACTAAAAAGTCATTTTCTATGACATGGGAGGTTGAGAAGCTGATGAAGGACTTTTGCCAAATTCCCTCATTCTCCTAAAGAATCAATGTGCAACAAATTACTTGAACAGATTTAATAAACTGGCACAATTACTGGCAGGCCCGACGGGCCAGTCTCTTTCATATGGGACATTAGTCAGACTCGTTTTTCTGTTTGCTAAAAGTTTGTTTTGCTAGCGATTCAGACTCTGGGACCCATCTTCAAATAGATCTGCACAAGTGGGTCCCTGAACTTTAAAGAGACCAATCACATGAACAGCCTGAAAAGAGTTCCCCAGAAGAACAGCACCATTATCTGAATCAATTTCAAACCAGAGCCCCATTATAATGAAGTATTTCTCTTTGGAAGGCAGTCTGTCCTCCCAGAGGTGCTTTTTATGATTTTCAACATGAGATGAATGATCTCTTGGATGACGAAGAGCACGTTAAACAGGCCAAACCTTGAGAGTTAATAGGTTGCTGGTTATTTATTATAACAATGATATGCCTGTGCTTTCAAGTATGCAGCAATTAATAAACTCCCTTACCACAGGATGCCAGCGTTATCCATAATATTGTCAAAACCATTCAAGTTGCACTTTGTGTCAACAGAAGCAAAATGGTATAAGGAGAAAACATTTCCTTTGTCTTGGGAAAATAGAGCTATCGGTTGAGAAATAACATCAGTACGCTGCACGAGCTGAGTTGTAATTCAACTATTTCCTCACTTTTATGTTGTATTTGGGGCCTAATTTTGAAGGATTCCAAGAAATTTAGAGAAGGCTGGCTTCTGTACAGTCTGTAACTTTTTTCTGCTTGTTAGGAGTATATGCTTTTATTCTAAAAGACTTAGGCCATTTTCTCATATTTTCCGCTGACTTATGGTTGTTGCCCTGCTTTTCAAATTTGTAAGGAGCAGATTAGAACTCAGCAGAACTTTTAAAGGAAATATCTTTCAGCCAGAAGTATGGATTCAGCTATTCCAGTATATTTTGTGAATGTATATTAATTTAAAAGTTTATTATTTGTTTCAATCCGACTTTTTTTTTTATCAAAATATTTCACTTATACATATTTAAAATACAATTTCAGGACAGACTGACTTTTTTTGAAATTTTACTTTGCTTTAAATATTGCAATGTTGTAAAAAGACAACATGAAGCCCAAATTTTCTTCAAAAAAGTTTTTTTCAGAGTGACTAGTGAACCAAAAATGTCATTATTTGCTCAGCTCTGCTTCTTCTACCACGCTATAAGGTTTCCAAATCCATGTGCCTTGAAAAGTCTGCTGGTAGAAAACTGGAGCTCAGAAAACGTCCAAAATCCAGCACGGGTCATTCTCTTGCATATCTTGGACCTAATTCATGAGGAAATAATTGCCTTCCTACATAAAAAGATAAGACTGAACAACAATATTATGCCCCATATGGTTTGTTTAAAAACTGTTAGAAACTCATTGTGGTAATGAAACTAACTGTCGATGCTTCCGCAGTAGGGCTGTACCTGCTCTGGGGTGAGGACTGCCCACATGCAGACGGCTTGTTCCCTGTAACCGCGGCAGCGTCAAGAATAACAATCACAGAGTGCCCAAATGGGAAATACATACTATAAAAAATATTTTCTAATTTATAATATCTTAAATAGTGTGGCCTAGGCAGAAACAGGGACACGTCCCGATCGTATTTCTTTTTCAGCTGGAGAAAAAAAGAATCGTACCCCAGCAAGAGTGAACAGGCATTAGTCTAAATACACGCAGCACTTCTTTAGGGGGCCTCCAAGAGAGCCTGTCTCTGCCACTGATGCAGAAAGGAAAAGGTGTTATTGGGGAGCCTGGCGGGAATCGGCCTGCGGGCAAGAATCCAACTCACTGTGGCACAAGAGGAGGAAAATGAGAGCAACATCACAGCTAGCCAGAACAGAGGAGCAGATATTTTAATTTGATTTTTGGAGGCACACAAAGGAATGGCTAAGCAAACTTCCCATTTGGAGAAGTGTGGGTGCCATAGTTTAGATGTGAATGATTAATGGGAAAGCACATACGAAAAAATTCACAACATCCAACAAATATGGAAAGCAGTCTGCAAGTTTATTTTTAATTCAAGTTTAAAAGTTAATTTAAATGAAAATGAAATAACAACACATTATATTTGTATCTAGTTAACCAAACAACACTCGAACTCTAATTAAGCACCAAGCATTAAGTAGTCAGTAACAAGGAATAAAAGGTAGATACGCTGAAATACTGAGGCAAGCACTCAAAGGACCAGAACAAAAGAAATGTTAATTAAAAGATAATGTCAAAGGGATAGAATGTTTTCTTGGGATAACAATCTCCCGCTGCTAAATAAATACCAAGGTGAAGTCCAGGCATCCATCAAAACTGAATGCCAAGCCAAAGCCAGCATATTTTAAGAAGGAAGACATTTATCTGGAACTCTCATAAAGAGACATTACCCCTCACGACAAAGAGTGCTTCTGTACATTCATCCTTGGTTTGGTAGATACCGCCGCTATCGATGGCCCATTTTTCATGACAGTGTTACCGATTTAGCTACACAACTGCGTAAGAAACGCTTTTTGGAGATATTCAAGAAGGATTAGCGAAGTACACTTAGAAATTGGCTTTTGACTTGAAACGAGTTTATTTTCCTTGCGTGCCTGAATTTAGGGGTGGCGTTGCTGGGGTGGATCCCGACCCGATGAAATCAGCGCGCGTTGCGCCGCTCAGTTAGGCAACACCACCGCTTCACCTTTGTCTTCCTCATTCTGCTGCTGACCTGCTACGTCTCTTCACCTGCTGGTATCACGTTAATTTTATTTTGTGACGGGAATCGTATTTTCCTGCCCAAAGGCACCGTTTGGGTGGATTCGCTCTGAGGCCCGTGACAGAAAATGACGGCAGCAGCTGATGTCAGAACCCGAGTGTCGGTGGTTCTTCTCCGCCCTTCCCACTCCCACACCATCAGACCGGC